AAGTTCGGGGGGGTATTCATAGGATTTGTACTGTAAAAGGAGAGTAGCAAGAGGTTCTCAAATCTTTATGATTTTTACATGAGATGTGTTTGCAGCATGCTACAGTTCTTAATAGCATTTGCCGTTGCTTCGTGTAACAGTACTTGAGTATGGAAGATTTCTGAGGTAACTGATTTGTTTTAAAGATTTGTTTAAATTTATCAAAATCACCATTCTGCATATGACTTTTCTAAGGGCTCACTCTCCCCTAATTGTGAGCAGCTATTAAACAGTATCTTGTCCCTTCTGTCACAGGTGTGGACATTGTCAGCGCCTCCAGCCAACTTGGAATGATTTGGGAGATAAATACAACAACATGGAAAACCCACAGGTCTATGTTGTTAAAGTGGATTGTACTGTAGATATTCCACTGTGCTCTGAATTTGGCGTGCGAGGATACCCTACGTAAGTATAGGAAGAAGTGTGCTCCCATTTTTCTTTCTTAGTTTTCCATGATCCTCTGCCAATTTCTTGAAGCTGACTTCTAAGATATATTTTTTCTGGGTTTCTTTGTAGCCCTTTGGACCTGCTACATTCATTTTAAGCCTTTTTGCAATGCTGCCAAGTATCATGTGATACATAGTACTCTTAGGCTTTTTTTTTTTTTTTCTTTCAAGAATCTGTTTTATGTCTTAGAAGGTGGCTGTGCTTAACTGAAGTCCAGAATCTTCCTGTTCTTTTGTGTGGGAGTGCCTTTTTCTGAAGCTACAGTACATTGTGCAGCTGTGATATGCATAACAGAGCTGGTTTTTACTAACAGTAAAAGTTACTTTTGAAAGTAACTTGCCACTAGTTCGTCATTACACTGCACCCTTCATAATTGCATTACAGGTGGTCTCTTAGATTTTTAGTGAACTAAGCAATAAATGCAATAAATGAATAGTATCACTTAGCATAGCAGTGGTGATATTGTGTTGATTTTTTTCTAGCTAAATTTCCTTATATTGGTCTAGTATTTTAAGATTGCTATGTTTATGCTGTTATCAAGGATGTATGTATTACTACCTCAGCTTTTGTAGGCAGAGCATGGTCTAGAGTATCTATGAGAGGTCAGTGCCTTTGGGTTAGATATGTGTTCCCTTTTAGACTCATAGAAAAGGAGCAAAAGGATTTATTTTTCACTCATGTCTTCTTTAAAACTTCTTACAAATATGGATGGGATTCTTTTAACTGCTTTATTCATCTTAGTGGGGATAAGTGGAGATTGTATCAGTGATTATCTACAGCCCTTCCACAGCCTGTATTTTTCAGTTTCCTTCCCTTTGCTCACTTTGTCTGGTGTTTTTGCCAACCCCAGCAACAGCCTGAACTTTTCATTTGCTCCTGGCTGCACCCACTTGGACGCAGATGAATGTGACTGAGTAGAAGTTGAGAGTTATAAATAGCATAGTCCTTGTTGAGATAGGAATTGCCCTTAAGGGCAGTGTGTGTCTTGCTTCCACTACAAATACCAAGAAAGAATGAATATTACAGTTCTGTTTTCATATCTCCAGAAGTGAGCATTGGTTGTCATTGCCTATTTGCATAGATTATATTATGGTGCTCTTCATCTTAAAATAGAATGGCAGAGATTTTTGAATAGGAAAAAAATCAATGGATGTGTAATTGCTGGAGGGCTTTTTCCCCTCCCTCCTCTTTAAGGTCATTGAATCTATAGGAATAGTTAGTGCTTGCTTTTATCTATTTGAAAAGTTAAAAATAATAAGGTAGTCATCTGCTATGTATAGAAATACAGCAATGAAGGGGAATTCATGGTATCAGTTCTCTTCCTATTTGAGTCAGGTTTGAACTAGCTTGTTTCTAAAAACCTCCAGCAAGGGAAATTTCACAGTTTCCTCAGGCAGAGGTATTGTTGCAAGTCCAGGTTATGCTGATCCCTACACTGCTTTCCTAAACATCTGTCAAAGGAAAGGCTGCATCCCCTTTTCATCCCCTCAGAGAAAAAGTGGCTGAGCAGGTCCCTGCACTTCCTATCACAGTTGTCTCAGGATTATTTGGTTTAAGATGTTACTTAAATTTGTTTTGTTATTTTCAAAAAGTATTGCCAGAATGTATTTTAGATATTCTTCTTTTTCATTTTTTTTCCCTTCCTTATTATTCTGACTTTCCATCATCACAAGGAACATTCAAGAGTACCTTGAAAAGAAAAAACAGTGGGAGCTCCTATCTCTTTTGAATGTATTTGCATTATGTGGTTTTTAAACACTTTCATATGTTCATTTCTTCCAAATGTGGAGCAAGAAGAGAAAGAAAAACATTTCAAGAAAGTAAAGAAGCAGTACAAAATGACAGCTTGTCAAGGGGAACCGAGGGCTAAGTGACAGTAGTAATTGCAACTCTGATTTGCTTTAAAAAATAAGACTAGGTCAGAATGCAGTATCACACCTTTATTAAATACTTCCAATTTTAACTTAAAATTTAGTTGTAGAAGCTTTATGTAGTCTATGAAAAAGTTTTGATGGCAATTAATGAATGTTACAATCATGAAGTCTTGATGCCTACAAGAAGTCTCTTATCCTTTTGTCCTATTGACTTGTCTCAGTGTGTTTTTAATCAGTTTAATACCACATGACAAACCCTACACTACAACAGCAGTCAGGGAACAAAAGGTGAGAAAGAAATTTCTGGGAAAATTAAGTGCTAGATATTTTTCCTTTGGTGACGGAGAGAGGTGAACAAAACAAAATCGATGCTCTTTGACAAACTGAAATAGGATTCATAGAACTGAATGCTGCAATTTTTAAATTGTTTTTTCTTATTTATCAAAGTAATATTACACTATAATGATTTTTAACTTGGTATGTCTTATTTTCTCTTTTAAAAATCTCCTTAAAGCTTACATGGGAAAGAAAAAGGATCCTAAGTTCTAGCCATGACACTTTAATCTGAAAGGGGTGCCTGATGCTGATGTTAAGTCAAGAGATCTGTTACTGCAGCCTGAGATGCATTGCCATGGATTAGCAAAGCACATTATCTTTCTGAGAATGTTTCCTGTGTTAAAATTTTTGCCTCACTCTTCTCTATATTTTGACCCTTTAGGCTAAAGTTGCTTAAACCAGGACAAGAACCTCTGAAATACCAAGGCCCTAGGGACTTCCAGGCACTGGAAAACTGGATGTTGGAGAAACTAAATGAGGAACCATCTGTAAGTGAAAAGGAAATAATCTTTTCTGCAGGCTTACTTATCTATCATTTCTCTAAGTTAGGTTTCAATTTCCAGGAGGAAATCTGCTCCTGAGAATAAAAGTCAGGTTGCAGTATCAGTCTGAAACAGCTTACATGTAAGTCAGAGTAGTAATTAAAACTGTCATCCTGTGACCTGCTCTCTGTTTCCAACTTTTAAAATTACAGTACATAATGCAATTTTAATGCTTATACATTTGACAATTTAGAATACAATCCTTGCTGTCAATTCATTTGACACCATTGTAGGCCATAATGTTTCTACAGTAAGAAATAAAATTTAGCTCTAATACATTATAAATTGGATTTTTGTTTGGCTTAATTACTTCTTAAAACATGGATGCCATCTTTAGCTGAGTTACTTTGTGATAATATTGTGGCCTAAATAAAAGGTTTAAAATGATCAGTTAAGTAAGATATGCTAATACAATGACTAGGAAAATCCTTAAGTTTAGGAGTATCATTCACATACAGGAGCCAAGCCTTGCCTAAAATTAAATTTTTGATTGCTGTTTCTAATCAAGAGAAAGCTTTAATGATTTCTGAACCACAGTTAGAATGTGATTACATTTAAACAAGCATGGCCTTTTTAGTAATTGAACTTTAAATGCTGAATTATTTTAAGAAATACACTTTGAGGTTCCTAAAGAATTCTTTTCAGCTCCAGGGTTAGAGTCTAGAAAGCATTCACTTGCTCTTGCTGAAATGCTCATGAGGTTCTTGCAAGTTAAATGTATTGTAAATGCTCTATTTCCATTGTTGCTGTTTTCATGGAGCCATTAGGTAGACAGCATTCCTTCTGGCACTAGGGGAGCAGAAAATAGCTTTTGCACTATTTTTAAATAGCCCAGAGACCACTACAATGGGTGTGCTAGCAGTTGTGGCTGATGTGTGATGCTCTGGAGGTACTGTTATATAATTTAAGTGTGTTAATATATGGTGATGCAATGAATGCTACAGCAATTACTGTGCCCTGTGACCGTGCTACAGCACAGTGAAAGACTGATATTCCACAGATTCTGGTAACTCTTTTATGTGGCAGTCCTTTTCACCTTTTGATTTCATGTAGTTGTTTTTTAGGAAACATTAGGTACCTAAATCAAGCTAAATAAGGACATTGTTTTAGGAATTTAAAATTTCAAAATCTATGGCACTATCGCACAATGGTGTGATGCAAGAAAAAAACATTGTGTATTTGATGTAGAAGAGAAATAAAAGTTAATTTTTCTCATGAATAGGACCCTGAATCTGATGTGGAAGCACCAAAAGCCCCTGAACCTAAGCAGGGAATGTATGAACTCTCAGCAGACAATTTCAAGATGCACATAGCAGAAGGTAACTGTTTTTTCCAAACAAGAGAAACTTGGTTACAGAGACATTAGTAGTGGGAAGTCTGCACCAGAAATGCTCGTTTTCAGGATACCTCCTTCCCACTTTTAGTTTCCAGTAATATAGTGAAAGAGGTAACTACATAGAAAACTGTGTAAAAATGCAATGGTTAAATTACATATTGCAGACTATAAGAAAGTTTAAGTACAGCGCTCAGAAGGCAGTAAAGTTATACAGCTCCTAACCCCAGGGAAGAAGCTAGTGGGGCTTGCTCAACTAAACTGTCTCTTTTCCTGAGCTGCTTGCTCAGTCACAGCCTTGCCACTTTTTGTTTTTGCAAGTCCCATTTCCTCCTTCCCTAGGTGCTGGTTTGTTCTTCCTCCAGGTTGTTATTCTGGATAAGTGTAATCCACCCGCTTCCTCCTTCCAGCCCCCATCCCACTCCAGTCTGGCCCTTTATTTGATATTGTTTAGCTTCCTTCCTCCAGAATTAATGTGGGCAAAACACTTTGTCTGTTTGGCTGTTTTAAAAAATATTTTGTCTGGAAGCTTTAAAATTAATGCCAGGAGGGATACCTAATAAGGGAAACTTCAACACTCACATGTTTTTTTAGAGAATGAGCAAAATCTTAGAATACAAACTTTGGGCTGGCATGACAACAGAGGATCCTACTTTCTCCATCTGTTATCCAAAAAAGAAAGGCTGGATTAAATTAAATGCTTGCCCATTTGAAATCACTGGGGAGGTCGATCTAGAACTCCTTAAAGTAACCATTAGCTGATTAGAAATACTTTTATGTGTAAAACAACATTTTCTGCAGCTGACTTAAAATTTCCCAGCATGTCTGGCTTAATGTGGAATTCAATCAAAATTCTCAATTAATTTTCCTCTAAGCCGTCAGCCATATGCTAAGCATTTGTCAGCTTAACTACCTTCTCAGACTGTAAAATTCAGTGCATTGTAAATGTTTTAGTGTTTTTATTATATATCCAGCCTTCATAGAGGAGACATTCTCGTGGTCATATCTGATGGTTAAACAGGTTTATGATCATCTGTAAATCTGTTGTCCTTTCTTGACTTCAGTTACAAGAAGTTCAGTGCTTAAATTTAACATGAGGCCTAGCAGTTACACCAGCAAAGTTGACTTCTGTTCTTAAATAGCCTCCTTTTACCTTTTTGCTGCTCTGGGACAAAAATAAATTCTGTTGTTTTCTATTGAGGAGAGTATGTCAGAGTACGTGGTAAAGAATAGCTGATTTTGACTAGTGTTCTTATTAATTCATAGGAAATTTGATTTTGCAGTTTACTTGACCAATACAGAACATGTCAATCAGTTTCAAAGTCTTCCACATGCAGACCAGCCAAGTTAGAGTACACTATTACTGCAGTTTGTTTCCTGGGTTTTTTTTATTGCCTTTCCTCTGACATTCCTTTGTGGACAAGCCTTCAAACTAGAAATTAATTCAAGTAATACCAGCCCCAAAGCAGTTTTCAAAGGATTATGAATAATTCTGCTAAAAAGAGCTTTTCTCCAGTTGCTGGTGTTTCCCTGCAAATTAATTTTTTCCCCTTATTTTAATTAAGTTCATTTTTATTTCATTTAACAGAGCCTTGCCTTGATGTATGCAAAAATGTGCAGCAATTTGAATTAATTAATCTTATTTGAAAGAAATTGCATATTCTGGTACTCTGCAATCAATAATATATACTTTTAAACTAAACCTTAGTAGGAGATAGTACAGGGACTCTCCCCTGCATAAAATGCCACAAACATCTACTAAAGGCAGAAGTTTCTGAGCAGTTGACATTAAAATTCAAAGAGCAGGGCAGAAAAAGAAAAATGGAAAGCTGAACAACATTTTTCAGCTAATTAATGAACTTAATGATTTCTTAGGAAACACCATTGCGTGAAGTTGAAGTTTCATACTTCAATTTATGCTGTTATCAACATATGTTTCTTGGTAGTACTTTCTACTCTGTAACAGGGCAACTGGTAGAATTAAACACTAAGGTAAATGTTTAGTTTAAAAGCATCAGTTTTAATACCTCACTCGTTGGCTTGAGATTGTGAAGCTGTTTGAATTTTCAGGAAATTTGGCAACGCTGTGGAACTGCATACAGTATTGAAAACCTAATTTCTGAAGTATTTTGTCCTGGCCTTTGATTCACAGTGTTTCCTATCTTTAACTCAGGAAATACCATGATAAATTTGCAGCCTGAGATTAGTAGCTAGGCTTTAATTGCAGCCAAGTTCATTCCAAATTAGCTAATTTTTTTTTTTTTTTTAACTTAAAAGGTAATCACTTCATCAAGTTCTTTGCCCCTTGGTGTGGTCACTGCAAGGCTTTGGCCCCAACCTGGGAACAGTTGGCTCAAGCCTTTGAGCATTCGGAAACTGTCAAAATTGGTAAGGTAGGTGAAGCACTCTTAGTTTGAAAATATGGTTTGTGTCAACATATGTTTCAGCCAAGAATCATGCCTTTTGTGCTAGGATTTGCCAGTCACAATTGTTTTGTTTGTCACCTCTTAAATCCTTTTATAGTCACAGTTTGTATTTTTGTTTTGAGACCGTCATGCTTTTTTTCTCACACATCCACAGTTAACAGGACCTCCCCCATTTTAAGCAAAGCCTTGTTGCAAACAGAGCTGCCTCTCTGCATTTCAGAGACCTGGGCAGAAGTCTGATACTTCAGATGCAGGGAATAATATTTTGAGACTTGTTTTTCATTATTCATTTGCTTTGTCAGAATTTGATAGACTTCAGTATTTATTTTGAGTGGGAAAGTGATTCTAATTTGTTCTTTGCAGCGTTGGATTCTTTAGCAAGCTTTATCCCTACTGGATATTTATGATGAGTTATTTCTTTGTTGGTTTTGGATTTTTCCCTCTTTTTCCCCATAAAACTTCTAAAAGGTTTCAGGGGGTCTTAAACCTTAAAAATTGTCCTGCTTTACTATTTCCCTTAGGCTTGATAACCAGGTTCTGTGGTGTATTTACCATGGGAGCTTTTTACTTGTACATGGAGTGACTACTGTGCAGAGGTATGGAGGTGGTCTGGCAATTCACTGGCTTTGTTTGCTGACCCATACCTAAGTCCAGGTGACTCATGATGGGAATCCCTCTGTATCTGCCAACTGTGGAAATTGGACCGGGCTCAACTTCCTCATCCCTAAACTTTCACTGTGGTGCCACTGACCTGAAATACTGCATGGCAGCAGTGTTGTCAGTCCTGTAGAGGGACTCTCTCTCTGCTGTCTCCCCTGCTTCTGCCCTCACAGCACTTTCAGCTGCAGTAGGAGGGATGAGCTTGACTTTTTTTTTTTTTAATGCTTTTGAAAATCTGTTGATTCAGCTATGCTGTACATGTACAGCACAGGCCAGCAGAGTTGAACTTCAGAAGAGGCAAACATACATATATATATATATATATATATATATATATATAAAAGCACAGTTGAACTTCAGAGAAGACACACAAATATATATATATATATATATATATGTTCAGATCTGGTGGATATAAAGTTAGATTCCCTCTAAGAATGGAATGTCAGAAGCTTTTTCTCCTTTGAATCTTTCTGTAGTTTTTGATGCCCTTATTTGCTGTCTGATGAAATTGTTGCTTAAGTATCTTTATGAAGTTACCCTTCTCTGGCACCCAGAAGAAAATGAACAATAAATTTCCAAAATTTCTGTTTCAATCAGTTGTCTGTAGTGTTTGCAGTTTGCGTTACTGAGATTTGCTATTTAATACCTCCACTAAGATTTGTCTTAATGCCTAGACAATTTTATGTAACTGTATAGCTTGTGAAGTATCTCTTGAAGCATGTCTTGGCTAAGATTTTAAGTCTGTAAGTAAACAGGAAACACAACTGTTTCTAAGAAGGTTGAACCATGACCTTCATCTAATCTGGGGGAATAGTGTCTTAACACTGTTTAATCTTTAGAACTGATCTTCAGTGAAAAGCTTATAAACAAGTAACTTCACATACTATATTAGAATTGAATGTTGCTATGCACTTGGAGCTTCCCTTGGAACACAGTTCACTTGCTAACTGTTGACATGCCTTCTGAAGTGGGTGAGCCAGTATGTCTTCACTTTAAATCTCTCTCACATTAGTGTTTTGTGTCTCGTTGTCCATGTACTGATCTTATTAGCTGAGAATACCAAGTACTTTTTAATTGAAGTATTTAAGTATGTCTTCATTGTTCTTTGCAACTGCTACTACTTCCTTCTAGCCGTACCTCCCTCCCTGATCCCTCCTTAAAAAAATAAATAAATCAAATACACACAGAGCCTCCCAATTATACAACCAAACCACTGTTTGCAAGGCAGACATAATAATTCTCAAGACAGTACTTGGTACTGAGTTTTGCCAAGCCTTGTATTGCTTGTTCCTGTATTTTTCTGAGCTTTTAAACAAGGGAGGCTGTGATGCTTGTTTATTTTAGGCACTGAATCATTTTGGGTTTTATTCCCAAAATGTAGGTCGACTGTACCCAGCATTATGAAGTCTGCTCTGAAGCCCAAGTTCGTGGTTACCCCACACTCCTCTGGTTTAGGAATGGTGAAAAGGTGAGTCTGCAAGTTCAGCAAAAAAATCACATCATTTTTCTCTGAATAATATTTAGACTATGCTTACATTCTGGGAAAAAAAATCTGCTTGTGAGAGAAAAGATGTTGGATGTTCATTTGGGTACTAGAAGAGATAGACTTTGTCCACAGATAAAGGTTTTTGTTCTCTGTTTTGCAAACAACTGATACAATGTTGATAAATCTGTAAGCAGCATCTCCAGTTATGTTGCTGTGTGAGAGAATTATGGGTTTACTTTATCATAGTATTTTACTTCATATGGAACACAATAATATAACTGAAATAGAAATAATAATAAAGTATGTAATTTTCACAATGTCAGAAGATTCTCATCTCTAAGTGGTGCCCATCTGCTGAGTGATGTCTAGAGAATGCAAATTTTCTTTCTTATATAAACCCAAACATTTCACATGACACTGTGAGTGAGAGTCTTGTGGGCCCAGCTGACATTTTTCCTTGCAGCAATTCAGAGAACTGAAATACTCTGAAATTATGAGGAGATAAAATGTTTATAAAAGCCACATACCTGAACAGCATTAAATAAACATATTATAAATTGTAGCATTATTTATACTATATTTCACAATTTCAAGATTATTTAAATATATTCAATAGATATTCAAAACAGGCCTGCAAGAGAACCCAGAAGCTACGCTTCTAGCTCTTACCTGCTAAGTTCTTGGCAGGGGGAAGGAAGAGGGAGTTTTCTTCCATTCAATTTGCATTCCTTTTTGAACATTTACAACATTAAGTTTTGTTACTTGATACAGTTTAGTGGCCACTGTTTGTGGCAATTTTCTGGCACTCTAAAGAGAAACTGGCTGCAAGTACATATCATATAAGATTTGGTATAAGCACCCCTATAAGATCAGACACTAGGGAATTTAAATGAAGCAGCCCCTGCATTTTTGAATCCCACCAGATTCACATAAGTGTGCAGCCTTATGACCTCTCAAGCAGCACAGCTGGAAGCTGAGGGAGTGCTCAAATCAAGCATGGTGGCATGTCCAAGGCTAGAGGTTTTTAGTTAATTAAACTTTAGTTTAAACGTTATAGTAATTGGAGTTCCTTGGAGTTATTTCAATCAAGAGTGCAGCGAAAGAAAAAAAACCTGCTCTTGTATTTGGTAAAGCTGAACCTCAGCCATTAATCTGAACAATGTATTTCAGTTGACATCAAACTGTCTTTCCCCACTGGAAGTGTGGCATTCCTTAGTGGAATACTGCTACCAAAATCACATGTTCCTGCATGGGCTGATACGACATATTTGAAAAAACACAGAACAACCTCAACTATTTTCCAATAATCTGGCCCAGAAATTCCTGAAACTCTCTCTGGCAGCTATGATACTGATCAGTAAGGGGAAGGAGTAGAACTGATTCAGTCATCCAGCCTTGTCTGTAATACCTGCCTTCGTCCCCTTTGCCATAACTGAAGTCTGGCATCACGCCACTGCTGTTGGTGAGAAGCAGCAGATATTCTAAGAGGAACCCTGACTGCCCTGCTGACATGGGTACGAACAAACAGGTACTGGCTTCTTGCTCCTTAGGGATTGACTGGCACCCAGTGCCAGGAAAGGGGCAGTAGTTACAAGAAACATTATCAATTACAAAAGAAGGAAAATGTGTACAAAAAGTTCCAATGATGAAGAAATGTCTGTTCTTCCTTCTAATGTATGGAAGATTGTATGTTGTTTCTTATAGAGTCTTCCTGGTCTGCAAGAGGAAATAAATCTTGCAGCCCACACCACAGAGGACCACATGTAAAGAATTCTATCCAAAAGAGATATGTAATGCCTCAAAGATATGATCTCTCTTCTGAACAGGAAAATTAGTACTAATTTTCACAGACAGCCCTGAGGGCAATCATGCAAAAGCCAATTTAGAGAGGGCCAACAGTGGGTTTGAAACTAAAAGCTGCTCACAATTGCTCTGATTTCTTGTTCTGACAATCTCTTGATTGTCTTGTTCTCTAGATTTGGAAAGTACCTGAAATATGGGGAGGCATCCAAGGTAAACTGTGGCCTGTCAAAGATCTGGCCGGCTGACTGCTTCATGTGCAGGTTAAAAAATAAGATTAGACTTTTGGGAGAGTGGTGCCATTAGAAATGTCTGCCCTGCAGCAGGCTGCTGTTGTCTCTTGCTCCCAGGTGAACTTAGGTGCCCAGAATGCAATGCCTTCTTGGGTTTTCCAAGGACTTGTGGCAAGTGTGTAGGCCAGAAGAATAACTGTGTAGCACAGAGACAGGCAAGTTAAAGTTTTCAGCTCTGTGAAAGAAAGCACTGTGTAGAGCTCACAGGGTAGCAGAGACCACACCCAAAACACAGTGGGTATTTTATTGTTCCTTGTAGTACAGTTAGATTCAAAAAAAGAAAACTTTGAAAAAGCTGACTAGAGTGAGACCAGAAGGTTTGAAATGGAAATGTTTCAAATTTGCTTCTATGTTTCTAAAATACCTTTCATTTCAAGGGAATGTTAGATTGTTCCCTTTGGGTACTGAAGAATCTATGGCAAAAGCTGAAGACATGGAGTGAATGGAATGTCATAGAGAAGTTTCAGAACTAGATAATCATATTTATTATTTATTTGCTTACACTTGGCAATCTTACATTTTGCTAGTAATTATTTATTTGTTACGTCAACTGCATATCAAAGGTTGCACTATTTGCTGATTGTAGGATGACCAGTACAAAGGGAAGAGGGATTTTGATTCCTTGAAAGAATACGTGGATTCCCAGCTACAGAGCTCTGGAAAAGAGCCACCAGCAGATAAACCTGTTGAAGCCCCACAGCCACCTGCAGAGCCCACCCCTGTCGAGGTAAGTGTTCCTGCACTCTGCAGCAATGTAAGGTGTTCAGACTGTTTCAGCTGCCTGTCTGAGTCTTTCATGTGTTTCTCTCTCTCTGATAGCTTGAAAATTTCTGGTTGTAAGCTGTACCAAATACTTCCCTGGTTATTTTTTTGAGTAATTCATGAGTGGAATCAGATAATAAATCCTAGAGATACTTTTACTAACCTGATGAATTGGAGAAGGAAAAAAAAAATAATCTGATTTCTATTTCATGGTAGCAATAAGTTATTTAGATACAGGCATAAATGTGGTTTTTTTGGCCCATGGAACTGCTGGCACCTGGGTCTGTATGACAGCATATTTCACCACTATAGAGATGAACATTTCTTGCAAGATTATCACTTGAACCCAGGAGGATGGTGCGCACTGCTAAGCCCCTAAAACAAACTAGGGTTCTATACTTAGAAATCTATCTGCAGAGACAATGAACAAAGATTATGAAGACCAGTACCAATATGGTAAGGTAATGTGCCCTGTGACAAGAAAACTCCTTGGGGTTTGGAAACTTGTTTTTATCTTGGTTGTTGGAGCTACAGGCTTATGTTGTGAAGAAATTGGCAGAAATAACCTTTGTACAATTGTAGTTCATGTAATATAATTCTCTGTCTTTTCTAATCCCTTTGGCATTTCATCTTTTTTTCTTGGAGATGAATGAAAATTTGGTAAGGCTGAGAAATTAGAGATGGATTTCAAACATAATTTTTCATGAAATGTGCAGTACATACTTTCTGCCTATAAAATAAGGGACAGGGATTTACACTCCCTGTGATATAGAATGAATTTAAATAATTAGGCAACAATATTCTTAATATAAATACAGTTTCTATGTAGCTTCTTATGGGAAAATATTACCTTTCCCAGCTGACTTTTCCAGCAGCATTACCCATCTTGCATAAAGTGGCTTACCAAACATTACAGACCACATAGATTTGCAATTTTCATAGTCTTCAATTTTTATTTTCTAATTGACCTCATATTTGGAAGATCCCAAAGAGCTGGTGTTAGTACAATGCAGAAAGTAATTAGTTGTCTTTCTATTTTTATAGAAATAACACAAACCACATGTGACACAAATTCCCACTTCTGCCTTGCATTCACTAGGACACACACAAGGATTGTTGGGGGATTTTTTTGCCAAATAATAGTAGACATAGTGTAGGACTCAGCTTGTCCTTACAACTTTTATCTTCAGACCCCCTGACTCTTTGTTTTCATGAATTTTGAAACAAGGGGCCAGCCCCTGTAGCCAGCAAACACTGACTGCATTTGCCATCAGTTGACCACAGGCAGCAAAAGCAATGAGTCCAACTCCAAATTTTTGTCCCAGTGTTGAGCCTCTACTTGGATTCCCCCATGTCTTATATAGCCCAAGTACTTGCCAGCCCTTTTACAGAAGCTGTACTTTTATATCCATGAGATGTCTCTACAGCCAGACATGGCTACAATCATTCAAAAAATGATCCTGGTGGATTAAGGCAGTGTGATCAGCAGATGCTCAGATTATGTGATTGCATTAGATGTCTTTTTTTGAGACACAAAACTAAAATTGAGATATCTGATATTAAATTTATTTTTGTGGTTATATAGTTCACATTGCTGTTCTGATAGTAATCTACAGATCTTTAAAATATATTTTACTGTGCAAATCATGGGGAAGTTGTTACTAAACAGGTTTTCAAATTTTGTGTCTTAGATTGTATGTTATGTGTGGAACATCAGTTTTAGAGAGCCTTTAGGAACATCAGAGTAGAAGCATAGTGCTTACTTTTTGCTTCATTTCATTATTTCTGATCATTTAATATTTAGAAAGTATAAAAGTATAATTTCTAATTTCTAAATAATTATTTAGAGGTAATAACACTTCAGCATAGTGAAATAAATCCATGAACTAACAGTAATTTATAGAAATGTTTAAAGGTACTGGATAATTTGGATTTTCAAATTTATTTTTGGCTTTACAAAACTGACTGGAGTTAAAATAGAATTGATAATACTGTCAGCTGTGATCTTGTTTTTCTTTTGCTTTCATTTGATTTTGAAGCTTTTATAGGCATGAGGTACATTTATTTGTTTTTAATCCCTCCTACCCTTAAAGGTCTCATGCAAAAAATGAAGTTTCAGCTCCATGCTCTCATGAGAGACTGTAAGCAATGTGCTTTCTTCCCATCGTTCCCTTGCTCCTGATATTATCAGGAGTAGAAACATTTCCTGGCACCCATGCAAGTGTGGTGTTGTGATGTCCTCTTCACAGGCAAATCTGTGTTTCTGGTAACAGCTTTTTCTGTGAATGCAGTGCAGGGGAAGAAAGAACAGAGAGAGCAGCTCTTGAGACATCACTTGTGTGCCTTGAATACCTCATTAAAATCTCAGATGGCCATTACCTGCTTGAAGCCAACTCTTCTAAGGGCTGTTCCTTGAAACATAGTGTATTAAAATTAAAGTGATTTTTCACAATTACTGAAAATCTGGATACAGGCAAATCCTTTGAAAATAGGAAAGCTTTGTTTCTTCAGTTATGGATGAGATTCAGTGTAAAACTCTTTTCTCTGCATCTCTCTAGGGAAGGAAAGTTGCTGAGAAGTAAAAGGCAGGTCTACTGCTGCTACTCTTGTTTATTTTACCAACAGTATTATCTTTTCCAATTCCATTTTCCCTTTTAGGAATGTAAAAGCTCTGTAGACTGGTGTTGTATATACAAAATGTTTTGACATTTTTTTCTTTTTCTTTTTTTCAGGGGCAGGCTGCAGTGCTCTCTCTCTCTGAAAAAGACTTTGATGCAACCATTGCTAGGGGGATCACTTTTATTAAATTCTACGCTCCATGGTAAGAAGTTTGCAGCTGTTGCTGTTCAGGATTATTGCTGGCCTAAGATGTGAGTGCAATAGTTGCTGTAGGTTTTTGAGCTGTAGTACTGTAGTTGTTCTCTTGATCTAAAATGTGAATTAGCTGAAGAATGTGTGCGTTGGCAAGAGTCACAGCAAAAAAAAGCTCAGTCTTGTTTAGCTCCCTTGAGCTGCCTCTCTGTGGAAAGGCTGACACAGAAGCTTTACCCTGTCAGCCTCCAGGTACTGCTGGGGTAACAGGGAGAGTGAAGCTTTCTTTGCAGGAGCAGCGTGCTCCTATCCCTGGATTAGGGTACGATGAGGGGAGTATACCACCATATCTCAGTGCTGAGAAAGGAGAGGATGCTGGCCTCAGGGCACTCTCCAGCCTCCCTTAGAAGCCTCATTGGAGCACCTGAATTTTGATACAGACTGTTGAGCTATGGATAATTAACTGCCTGTTACTCTTCAAATAACTATCAAAAAACTAATTTGCATAAGTGACAATTTTAAGATGTTCTTAAGAGTGTATGTTCATGCAGTATGTTTTTAGAGGGACCCAAGGTAAAGTGCCCAGTGCAGATGGTGCAGGTGTAGATACACAATGGAACGCGTTGGAGGGGGAAATGAAAGTCACGTCTGGCATCTGCCATTCCTACTATATCCAGCAGAGCCTGGGACCCCAGATGGGTTAAGACCTCAGTATTACAAACTTGTAGAAGTATTTCCTCCTTTTTCTTACTATTCCCTTTCTGAGACAAAAAGAAAGTTTCATGCTTCTCTCTCTGGTTTATAGAATTCATCTTATTTGTGCCTCTGCAGAATTTAATGAAACTTGCATGCCATCTTGCTCATCCATTCCTGGTCTTTTAGCCAACAGAAGGAAGCCTAGTGTAGGGAGAGACATTAAAATTAAGCTGTATTCCACTGTGTTAAAGATAACACATCTCTGATTCAATCACTAGCATTCCATTAACACAGTGTATAAAATATAAAAAGATCTTTTGTTTAGTTTACAAAAGGCCCCATTACAAAGCAACACAAGCAAATGCCACCCATATTTAGAAATGCTGAGGCATCTCAAAATATTGCCACTTAACTTCAACAGTAGGCATGAATGTGTTTCTTAGTGTAGGCAAGAATTACCTGGGAACACTTCATTTCACTTAAGCTCAATTCTGCAGGCTTTTCCAGTGTTGTCACCGTTTGCTGCTTGAGAACCACTGCTGTGCTCTCTTCCATGTGTAAGATCTGCTTTTGGATGTGAGCAACTATCTGCCACCCCTGGGTTAAGAAATGCCCTGCCCATAGCATGCACACCCCTCATCTTTTACTGCTCTTTCCTCACTGCCTTTATCCCCTCTGTACTCTGGGAAGGCCTTAAATTGAGTCTGTGCCTGTGCTGCTCCTGCCCCTCCTGCAGAACTGGCTGGGAAATTCAGTTCACACCTGTGCTCAAGAGCAGCTTCCAGTCTGATTTCTGAACCCAGGGCTTGTTGGCATATCTACTAGTTCGTTACCTGGAGCAACATTTTCTGGGAGAGTTTGAGATGAAGAAATTCTCCCCTTTTGATTATCTTTTATTAACAATGCCATGTCCTCATCTCATGAGATTCTCGTGGGGTGCTGCTGAATCTCACAGACAGGATCAGTGTTGGATGGCAGGCTGAGAAACAGTGGTTTCAGGATGTAGAGTCACCAGTGTGTGCTGCCTGGCTGCAATGCTCAGAAAGCCACCATTTAGGAAAATGCTTCATATATTTTCGTAGCTCTTGTCCTGGTTTTGGCTCTGAAAGTCAGGCTTGTGACTGCCTGTAGTGCTCTGCATATAAATGACCATATTCTCTTCCAAGTTGACAAACTTATGTAGGGCTCAGCAAACACTATTATGTTGCTTTCTAGTTCTGCCCTTCAGTTAGTTTTGGATAAATATTAATGTTAACTTGCATCGTAAGCACAAAATCATCCTGTTCTAGTAGTTTTTGTGCATGGTCAGAAATGCTTTTATACTGTCACTGTGTATTAACAAGGTAGTTTAAATATACACTGGCTTGCATTAAGAAAGCTTCTGCTGAGACATCTTTCATTATTTTTGTAAATGCCCTGATCCAGCCTCGAGGCAATTATGGGTCTGTTTTAATAACCCAATTAAGGTGCAGCTGGGTTAGAATAGTATGAGCAATGCAGATTTAAAGTCTAAAGTGCTTTGGGAATTCTTCTTAAAGGCAGTAAGAAGTTCACATTAGGAACTTGACTAAGCCAAGATAAAAATATAAACAAAATGAATGCTAATGGTCAAGGAGGCCATTAGGAACTGAAAGAAATTTAATAGGGAAATTAAAATCTCATTTGACTAATTAAAACTCAGGCTATGTAGCTTTAGTATGACTGGCATATGCTACCTGAAGAATTAATTCATACTACAGACATTCTGTGTCTTCCTAAAAGCCTTTTTGTTTCCAAGAGATCTTTTTTTCCCATTTAAATATTCTCTGTGCTTGTCTTTATTTGGCTTCATAATCCTCTGTGGGATAAAATGTTAATGTACCGAGATCTAGAATACCATTCTAGGCAAGACTAACAAAGGCCAGAAAGTACTTCAGTGCTTAACTTAAATAAAATCACTTGTTTTCTTAGCTCATTTACTGACATAATAGTGCAAGGGAGTTGGAGGGCCAAATCAATTGGGGATAGGAAAGGCTGCTAGTTAAACTTACAGCAATTGCAGCAAGACAGTAGAGATAAAGTAGAAAGTGTATCTGCTAAACAAATCTCCCTCCTTTGTTTCTAGGTGTGGTCACTGTAAGAACTTGGCTCCAACCTGGGAGAACCTTGCCAAAGAGCAATTTCCAGGTTTGACTGATGTCAAAATAGCAGAAGTGGACTGCACTGTGGAACGTAACGTCTGCAACAGATTTTCTGTAAGTGTGAAGGTTCTGAAATGAAGGGGACAGTATTGTGTACCAGATGTTGGAGGCCCCAGTGTGCAGCCCAACTGGCTGCTGCACTCCAGGTGCCTGGTCTCTCTCCACGACAGTACAGCTGTGGTCTCTGTTAGCCAAAAAGAGGCACCTGGTGACACCATTTCATTCCTGAACTGTTTGTTTGGGCTTGGTCATTTCCATTATTGGACAAAGCTGAAGAAGTCCCTACTTAAGGAAACCTCTCTCTCTGAAAGCACTAAAGCTGTCTTGCAGTATCCCATGCCAAATTCTGTTCCTAGGAAAAAAATGGCTTTCAGAGCTGTTAGGCAGACAATTGAAGACAGAGCTGGGGCTGTCATTCCAAGAGCCTAGAGGAACATGTATTACCCCATTCTCTTAAAAATGTTCAGAAATTGCAGGTTGGCATTGAAAGTTCTGCTGTGGGTTTTTTTTTTTCAAATTAAAATGGCTTACTGTTTTAGAGGCGTTTGATGGCTTTTCAGAATCAGGTAAATATAAGTGATGGATACAAGTCTGAAGATTAATAGCAAATTTCTTTTTTTGTGTGTGTCTTTTGAAGGTACGTGGTTATCCTACACTTCTGCTTTTCCGAGGTGGAAAGAAAGTCAGTGAACACAATGGAACGAGAGACCTTGAATCACTACATAACTTTGTCTTGCGTCAGGCAAGGGATGAACTGTAATAAAAGTCTGGATGCTCTGTCCCTGGCTGTCTCTGTACAGTAGCTGAGGGATTTCTATCTTTGCTAATTTTCAAATAGTGTATTTGGGGGGGTGGGGCTTTTTTTGTTTCTTTGTTTCTAGGAAATTGAATGTACTAAACTTTGGTATCTTCCCCTTGTGTGTGTGTTAGAGACATGTCTCTGTGTGTGTGAAGGAAAGCTAACAAGTAGTTACTGTGCAAATCAGGAGTATTTTCAGCATTGGTAGTTGCTCTGCATTTCTGCATTCCTGCAATGAAGTGTAAATGGTTTCCTTTGAGACCAAAATACGTTAAGAAAACCAACTGAAGGGCAGCAGTAGAATATTTTTGTCTTCAGGTTAGATCTGATTAAAAAGTAATCCTTACAAACTGCTTACCATTACTAGAAAGGCAAAAGCTACAGCTGTGTTGAGTCACTTTTGCCTCTAGAATTGTACTTAATCCTTATTTGTCTTAATATAGCTGCTGAAAGGTTGAAAACACACACACCTTTGGAAGATACCAGGCCACCATGAGCTGGTTGTTACCTGTAATTCCTCTCACATGGGAGGTCTAGCCATAATGAAAGTGATGGTACTGTAACATGTGCCTGAACATTACTGATGCCATAGTGTACATGTGTCAGGTGCATTTCCATAGGCTGCTGCCATCCAGCTCCAGAGGCACAACTATGCTCTACTTCTCTAGAGCCAGAGTGAAAAATAGGTGCTGTTATAACTGCCCCGTTCGTGGTAAATGATCGGTCAGACTCCAGAGCTAATGATGTGTTTCCTATCCCGGCCTGAATCCAGACATTGTGCTGAACTGCTCCTTAGTCAGAGTACCTATAGAACAACAAGTAATACAATGTTTAATATTTTTTTCTTCCATTCAGCTCTTCTGCAGTAGTGTAAAATAGTTCCCCCCCTCTTCTCGAGCCTTAATGTTTTTCCAAGCTGTAAGCATTGATAAGTTTGAATGCTAGGACCACACACTTTGTGGTGTCTTGGATTATAATATGAATCTATTCTTTGGTGCATAAGATGTTCTATGTTAGACTTAACTGAAAGCCAAAGAATTTACATTGCAGAGACTGTCATGATACAAAGGCAACAGCAAATCAAAGACTGAATTCTGCTGTCTCATGTGCACAGAAACTCATGAGGAATGAGGATTGCTACAGGCTAATTTGATTAATCTGTCAAGATGCTAGGTTTTGTCCATCATATGGAGTAAGTTGGGTTGCTTTTCTTTTTTATTAAAAAAAAAAAAAAGGCAAAACATCAATGAACTTTTAAACCAGTGAATTTCTCCTGGTTCTTCACTTCACTGTGTCCAGAACTTTTGATTCTGTTCACTCTGAAAACATGTGATGGTGAAAAAGCCACAGTGAAAGCTAAGTGTTGTACTGGCAGATGTATTGGATCAACATGTGTACTTCTGCCTTTCAGGAAGCCTTTATTATATTTTTAACAACTTTCTAGTGAAGCACAATCTCATGAGTTTCTTGTATAAAATCAAAGTGGTACAATTGTTTACACTGAGATTTTTTTCTAAATAAAAACTTTTTAAAAAAGCAGTCTTTCTATAAATGATACAGCACAATGAATATACAGTGACAAGTGCAATAAATTATAGCTTGTATTTACAAGAAGCCTTTTAAATGCAAGTAGAGGTAAGTGCATTTAATACAAGTTTAATATTGATCAAAACAATTTGCTATTAGCTTCTGCTAGACAAACCATGGCTCTACGCTGCATATCCTTTATACCAGTTTGTTAGTTGCATGAGTTGAAAGGGAAAGATTGCAAATGTTGTTGACATTCTGTCTTCCTGTAAACAAACTGTCCAGCTAGAGAATGAATGGCCCCTAAGCTTTTACGTCTGAATTACAGCTGAAGAAGTGTCCTGACTTCCTTCCTGGGCAAGTGGTAGTAGATGAGGCAGCTCCACGTGGGGAGTGGAAGGAAGTTGCATAAGAGCAAGTGTAAAAATTTGTATTGCTGAGTCAGATGGGAAGACTCAGCCAGGGTCTGAGTTCAGGGTAGTGTTTCTAACACAGGGTGCAGCCATGTCATCTTACACTTGCAAGATCAGAGTTAAACGGTGCTGGGAGCATTAGAGAACTGAAACATCTGCTTTGGCACAATTTTAGATGCTTACTGTCATGACAGATGTCAGAAGACTAACAGTCTAGGTGCAGTAACTGGTCCTTCTGGCCACAAGGATCTTGCACGAGATGTACACTCTGTGGCTGAAGTGCTAACAACACTTTCTTTAGCTTCTCTGCCTCTCCCCCTCATCTTCCCTCCCCACCCCCAAAGAAAGACCTCACTTGTTTTGGGTGTTGAGTCCTCATCTGGTGAAACTGCAGCACATATCCAAGCACCTGCTACAGGTCAAGCTTCTCTGTGAGATTAAGACCATCCCAGCCAAATAAAGTGTGTGGGCATTTTGCTGCTGCTGAGCTGAGCTGGGCATCCACCGCCATGTAGGGTCAGTCTCTAAGAAGTCCAGCAGTTTGCTCCCACCCTGGGGGGTGGTCCCCACACCCCTTCCTCCCACAAGGCACATACATGGTGTTCTGAAGGGTGGTTCATCACATGCTTTTTTTTTTTTTCCCCAAGGTCGTGAAAACAGGGAGGGTTGTATCCAAGTTCATGGCAGCATCACAGAGTCCGTGTGAAGACTGTTTGTCAGTGACATCCACAAGCTCTTACTACCATATTCCTGTATTTCTTCAAGATTACATTAGAATTATCATCAAAGTAAAGGACAGATATGGCATTTAGTTTGGTAGGTGCACAGCATGGTTTGGGAACGTAATCAGGATTCATTAGATGAACCTGTTGCCAAGAAAGAAAACACAACTGAGACACTGGTATATTGTTCACAAATTCACCTGGTGCTTTGGCACTGAGCTGCCTGGGGACTTACCAGAGTTTGTACAATGGCATGATTGGTTGCGTTCATATGGGCGTTGAGTGGGAACGAGCACTCCCCATCACAGTAGTTGGCTGCGTAGCCTTTTGGAGCGATTATCCAGTCCTTTTTAGGGAAACAAACAGAACATGGTTCAACAGACAACTGCACACAATTAGGAGCAGCTGAAAATTTTCCACTAACTTCTTCCTTGAGGGTGAAAATGTGTTTTCACTGAAACCACTCGGGTTTTAGTTGAGTTTTTTTTAATTTCTTTTTGTGTGTCACTTTTCCATGGACACACTGATTTTAATGTCCAAAGAATGATGCACATCTATGTACAGCTCAGCTACCATTAACTAAGAGGGCTTCACCTCTAAAACTCTCATTGGGTTGCATTGTGGGGAGTGTGGTTTGGAGGCCTTTATTTCCAACATTTCCTGCAGGCCCTCTGGCTGGAATACCTTTCCTAGGTTGAGTCACAGCCACAGCTGGTGTTCCTCAGAGACAGCCTAGCTTATACACTCTTCTAGAGGGATACTACTCTGCTAAAGACACTGTGAGAAATCTTAGCTGCCAAACAGCTTCTCCACATCTGCCTGACTCCTAAAGGAGGGGCAGGACAGCCACCCTGAGCTGCATGAGCAAGCAGGTAGCCCCACTGGCAATCTGAGTCCCATGCTAGGCAAAAAGGGGACTCTCCACCAAAGCAAGCTTGTCTGCTGCTGACACAAAAGAGCCAAAGTAAAATTAAAAGCAGCACCATGGAACAGGAGACATTTGGCCTCCCTTGGTGTTGGGCTCTGCAGGTCGCCCTTCAGAAGGGCGTACCAGTACGTCTCACGTGCATGTATCTCTTAGGCAATTTCCACTCTACCTGACAATTACCTAAGTTTGCCTGAATTTTGCTACAGCAGGGCTGAGGAGCCACACACTGTTGCTGTAGCTTTGCTAACCAAGTTTGTTCTGAAGGAAACAGCCGTGCCCAACAACTGCAGGGCGCTCTACCTTGCCTTGCTCATCTTCCTACAAGAAGTAGGACCTGGATTCCAGCTCTTAAAATGAGCTCTGCTGGTCTGTGGCCTTCCTTTGGCAGCATCTTACCTTTCTGCAACTAGAATGGTGAAGGTAGTTCCTTCAAGATCATGAACTTCCCAGCTGGAATCCACTTCCTAACCAAAAGCAGGGCAAGTAAGATTAAGGAAGAGGTGGAATGTCTCTGCTCAAGTGAAAAGTCACCCATAAGTAATGGGGAATGGAGTCACCACACAACCACAGTTGCAGCTACTGGGCTGGAGTTGACACGTGAGCTACAAAAAATGCTGCTATACCATTAGCTGAGAGAAGATTTGCATGTGTTGGGTATTACAGAAGCAGCAGGGACGGCACTGGCATCCTGAATTATAACCTGGTAAAAACATTAGCTGATGATAGAAATAGGACCTCCCTCATGAGTGCTGAATGAAAGAATGAAAAAAAAATTTGAAAAAGAGAAGGTGAGGGCATTCTTTGAAATATGATGTTTGTTTGCACTATAGCCTGGTCCTAAATAACTTACTCTAAACAACTTTCTGGCCTCATGGTGTTGCAACTAAACTCAGTCTTCAGTCTACCTACCGCAGGCAGTGCTAATTGTGGGGCAGGGATTGTGGAGGATTTCAAACAATGGCCAAGGTTAAAATCAGGGTGATCACTAGAAAAAAATTTCGTTAAAATCACTGCTTAACATCAGATTGTTTTCCTTATCATTAGAGGTACACAGATATAAGCCCTTGCCCATACCGTGACTCCCATGAGTGACAGAGAATGACTGTATACTTGAATCCCATAAAGTATCAAGCTTTCTCTGGGTCTTATCAAATGTCACAACCATCAATATTTATTTGCCTTCTCTGTGACTGGTTTTAGTGAGGAGGCACAAGGGACATTTTAAAGCATAATGGCAGACTCGAGTGGAATTACCGTGACACTGTTTAGATAACATTTCATAACAAAATGTCTGGTTTACCCAGAGAGAAACATCACACACCTGCCATCCCAAGTCTTGGAAGCTAACGTAAAGCTCATGTTTTCTGCACGCTGTTTTTAAGTCACTGCTGT